CACCTTTAGTTCTGTTGGTACTTCATGGTAAGATAACGAAAAACTTACATCTTTAATTCTGTTGGTACTTCATGGTGAGATAACATAAAACTTACATCTTTAGTTCTTTTGGTACTTCAGGGTAAGATAACAAAATAATTCACATCTTTAGTTCTTTTGGTACTTCAGGGTAAGATAACAAAATAATTCACATCTTTAGTTATTTTGGTACTTCATGGTAAGATAACGTAAAACTTACATCTTTAGTTCTTTTGGTACTTCATGGTAAAATAACAAAAGAATTCACACCTTTAGTTCTGTTGATACTTCATAGTAAGATAACGTAAACACGTACATCTTTAGTTCATTTGGGACTTCATGGTAAGATAACGTAAAACTTACATCTTTAGTTCTTTTGGTACTTCATGGTAAGATAACAAAAGAATTCACATCTTTAGTTCTTTTGGTACTTCATGGTAAGATAACAAAATAATTCACACCTTTAGTTCTGTTAGTACTTCATGGTAAGATAACGTAAAACATACATCTTTAGTTCTGTTGTTACTTCATGGTAAGATAACGTAAAAACTTACATCTTTAGTTATGTTGTTACTTCATGATAAGATAACGTAAAACTTACATCTTTAGTTCTGTTGGTACTTCATGGTAAGATAACGTAAATCTTACATCTTTAGTTCTTTTGGTACTTCATGGTAAGATAACAAAAGAATTCACACCTTTAGTTCTGTTGGTACTTCATGGTAAGATAACGTAAAACTTACATCTTTAGTTCTGTTGGTACTTCATGGTAAAATAACAAAAGAATTCACACCTTTAGTTCTGTTGGTACTTCATCGTAAGATGACGTAAAACTTACATCTTTAGTTCTTTTGGTACTTCATGGTAAGATAACGAAATAACTGACACCTTTAGTTCTGTTGGTACTTCGTGGTAAGATAACGTAAGAACTTACACTTTTACTTCTCTTGATATTTCATGGTAAATAACGTAAGAACCAATCTTTATTTCTGTATATTTTTGATGTAGGCAGATATTATAGGGGCAGAATTTCGACCCCTGTTATCCAGTCCATGTGAGAATAGTGTAACATGTTGGCCTAGCCTTAACTCATTCTTCTGCTCTTGTTTACCATGTTTCACGGGATGTACAATTTTGTTATTTTACAGGGGCAGGATGTACACAACATTTCGACCCCTGTTACCCCAGTCCATGTGAGAATAGTGGAACATGTTGGCCTAGCCTTGACTCATTCTTTTGCTCTTGTTTACCGGGTTATACAGGAGACATGTGTGAAGGTTTGTTTGTTTGTTTTAAAACTTAAAAACTGTGTTTTTCCAGTTACATTATGCTCATTCAAGAAACTAAAAATGAAATCTAAAGTGTTAAAAATACCATATCTTTATATACTACAATAAGTCATTAATATAAATTGTAATGCAAAATTTTATTTTCTTGTAAAATATTTATAATTTGCTTTTATTTTTAATTGAATTCTTATACATATAAATGCATATTTAATGTTAATAGTTGAATTTTTTAGCTCATCTGCTACACCCAGCCAAGCCATTAGCACACACTCAAGAAAAGACAGAAAATCCACAAGAAGGAGCTGTGATCGACACAGTTAACGTGTCCTTGGATCATGTGCACAATATTTATATTGCTGCCTCTACACTAGCTGGAGCCTGCCTAATGGCAATCATTGTCGTAACTATATATCATTGTCGAGTTCATAAGTCCTACCAACGCTTCGTCAGGAAGTCTGGCAGGTCTCGATCCGAGAAAATAAAGCAACAAAAAACGTAAGCATTATTTTCTTTAATCCTATAATGTTTCTCGAAGAATTTTGAAATACCCAGAAATACTTTTAATCAAAGAAATTATTTGTTTTTGGATCATCTAATCTAGGATATGTGTCCTGTGTGTGTTACTTTTCCTATTCTGTGTGAACTAACATTCCACGTTAGTTCTTCGATAATTTCATATAGGATACGTGTCCAAAGGTAACACACAAACACTAAGAACTAACGTGGAATATTAGTTCACACAGAATATGAAAGGTAACACACACAAGACACGTATCCTATATGAAATTATCCAAGAACTAACGGGGAATATTAGTTCACACATAATATGAAAGGTAACACACACAGGCCACGTATCCTATATGAAATTATCCAAGAACTAACGGGGAATATTAGTTCACACATAATATGAATATTAGTTCACACATAATATGAAAGGTAACACACACAGGCCACGTATCCTATATGAAATTATCGTTAGTTCTTGGATAATTTCATATAGGATACGTGTCCTGTGTGTGTGTGTGTTAACTTTGCTTCTTATGTGGACTAGTATTCAGTGTTTGTTCTTGAACAATCGCACTGAAGACACGTATCCATTTAATGTTAGTACTTTCTGTCCTACAACAGTTTCTTTGTAGTTAAGTGCAAAGCTACACAATGGGCTATCTGTGCTCTGCACACCACGGGTATCAAAACCTGGTTCCTAACGTTATAAGTCCGCAAACATACCGCTGTGCCACTGGGGAGTCCTATAATAGAGATCAATGTTTTGAGTTGCCTTTATAATTACTTTATCTGGTGCTGCTTTCTCTTTAGTAATCTTCTAGAAATCAATACTTCACATTGATTTTGAGAGTATCATATCTCAAGCAAGTTTTCCACTTCTGCAAGTATGTTCTTGTCCTCTAGAGAGTGCTATTCCAAAATGGTTCTTCCAAGATCTCTTTTGAAGTGAGTTTTCTACTTTTTAAGTTATTTTATTAAATAAAAGGTGCATGTTTTCGGTTACTAAGTGAAAAACATTTTTCCACCTTAGTCCTTCGGTTGCTGCATCAGAGAAAGTAATCATTTTTTGGAGTTTATTTCTGTGCTTTAGAGACCAGGTTACTGATACTTAAGTGATCTAGTTTGAACCGTACTTCTGGTTCGTGAATCCACGCTCTTTTGGTGTACTATTGTAATCTGGAAACTTCTTAGACATTTTTCTATTTATAATATTCACATGGTAGTGGTACTCATTTTGAATAAAATCTCTATATCTCTATATAATCTCGATAAAATGTTAGGCTATCAAGTCTGAGATTCTTAATAACGAGCCTCTATGACCGAGTTTTAGTCTCAATACATTCAATATCCATGTTTTTTTTTCAACCCTTTGGTTAGATATTGGTGATTTGGAAAACATATGTATAGACTATGACAGTCATTAAAACTGCTAAGATGTTTTTGAACAAAAGTTAAAAGACTGGAATAATTAACTCTTTAGTTTAATTCATACTATGTCCAATAAAGTTTTTATCCATCCTAGTTTTCATTTGGTCTTACCTCTTCGCCATGGCTGATCTGACTACGTCACTTGGAATACGAATATTGTACTCTATATACACCGATTCTTTCAGAATTTTTTATACTTTGCGATTTATATTTTGTTTATTTCAATACTTTTTAAAGAAGTTCTAGAGTATCAACAGTCATTAATATATAGTAGACTAATAAACATAGTAAATCCAGTCGAGGTAGTGCGTTCATTTAGTCCTAGATGCTACTACCTATAGCAGGATTTGGCTAAGGAGATTATCTACTATTTCGTGAAGTGGGTGTAATGTATCTTCAAACACCCTGTGTATGTGTGACTACGTTATGGCTGTAACTTGAAGCAGAATGGGGTCTTAAGTTGGCATCGTAAACTTCTGAAAATGCAGAAAAAAAGCGTAAGTGCATTTTAAACTTTACCTTTGGTTAAAGACTTCAGATTCCCGAGTTTTTTAATGTTTCCTCAAACGCTTTTGCGCTCTTTCCTTAAATTTAGCTGTATTATATATTTATTCTCTGTAGCGATGACCCAGAAATGTTTTCCTTAAATCTCCAAGGAAATACTTCTGATTTCAGACTATTTTTTAACAGTGTGTACGAAACGACTACGATAGACCTAAGCGACAACTTAGACCGGCCACTAATTGCCTGAGTGTTTCCTTTATTCCTGATCTACTTTCCATCTCACCTTTTCGAGCTGACTGATGCGATTCATCATTTGTTTATTGAAGAAGTATTGGTCGTCTGTGTCCAAATGTTGTCACGTAAAAAGTGAAGAAAGTACGAAGATCAACAACGCCGTTCTCTCTCCAGAACAATAAGACTGTTTTCATATACTAAAATAAGCATTAAAAATTCAACTAAAATGCCATAGTTAGAAAGTGCAGATCCACATTCTAGAATATGTGAGTTAAAAGTATCTGTTTGCCTTCTTCTATACCCATACAAACACATGCTTTATTGTACAATTTTCTTTTTTACTTTCATAAATGTTCATACTTTAAATTTCGTTGTCTCGATTGAAAATTTACTTAATTGTGATTCTTTTGAGTTAAATTCATTTCTTAACATATTTATATTTTCAATTCCGTCAAAAGAAACGTCTTTGTTAAACTTATCCTGTGTTTCGAACTAATATTTCTCCTCTGAATGATATAGAATTATGTAAAGCTTTCTCTGTTCTACTGATTTTGTGTTCTGTAGAAACAAGATTTTTTCTTTCTAAAATCATAATCCTCTTTACCATTTCAAGATTCTAAAATCCTTTCAATTCCAAAGCCATGAAGTACCCTATTTCAAGCTACAAAATCCTTATGAAAGTATATGATTCAAAAATTTGCAAAATCCACTATATAATGCATTCTAAGATGAAAGGTCAACAGTGTTCTGTAAATTATTCCTAGAATCAAAAATCTAGAACTGTCTAAAACATGCATTTTATGTACTATGTATACAAATTATTTTGCTTCTAAAAAGATACACAGAGATCTACATATGACATGGTTCATAGTTCATCATGCTCACTGGAGTCTCCGTTTCGAATAATTAGACATAAATAACGCTTTTGATTAAGTTAATCGAAGAGGGTTAGAAATTGTTAGGATGTACAGTTCATTGGTCAACTGTTCGTTATACATTATTTTACTGTTCAGCTAATTATTTAATGGGCCAATAATATATGAAATCTTAATTTTAGATCGTAGTGTTTCGTCCTTTGTTGTGTGATGGACGATGTTGATGATTCTTATAAATACATCATTTCTCAGACTCCAAACGTGATGCTTCTTATTAGGAAAAACATCAATATTTCTACAAAGAAGTCATCGAGCGTTAATGACGAAAATTCTAGACCTAATTTCGGAATTAACTTGTTAATGTATCGAATTATAGACGTAGGTATAAGAGTAAGAACAGTTTGTGGATTAACAATCCTTATTTATCGCAGCCCATTTCAAGCAAAATATTGCTAAAGTAGTGTTTAGTATTTTTAAAGTTTGATTCTTTTTAAACGAAACGAAATTACTATATTTATAAAAGATATATTGACGGAAATTTAAAAAACACTACTTCAAGTCTCTCCAATAAAATATGCGAGAAAACTTAAACTACCATTCCATCATGAATTATTTGTGTGTATATATTATGTAACCATTCCGTCGTGATTTATTTTGTGTGTATGTATTATGTAACCATTCCGTCGTGATTTATTTTGTGTGTATATATTATGTAACCATTCCGTCATGATTTATTTTGTGTGTATATATATTATTTTACCTTGTAGACGAATTCATGCATGGTATAAACAGCTATTCGATTTTCATCATTGTTGTTATTCTCTTTTGAAGCCTGTGTTTAATTGTAGCTCTTGTAGAATATTATTTTGTACTGCTGATAACTAAAAGCCAGATTGGAATTTCTTAATTCATATCCATTAACTTTCGTTTTTGTTTAAACCTCTCAAGAATAAATTATACATCTTTTTAGCAGTATTAGTTTACCGTGCTTACTCCAAATTTTACATTGTGTTGTTAGTGTTAACATTAATTTATTTCTTAGTGTAACAACTATGTATATATATCGGATGTGCTGTAAATCATGAATCGGTGGTTAACTAATGAATGTTTTACTCTACGCTTGTAGTGTGTCAGATATGAATAACGCTTCAAATGGTTATAATTACACTTATTGCCTTCTTACTGACCCAATAAGGCCAAAAGTTATATCAAAAAAGTAAACAAACCCACCTCCTCCAAGGCCAAAACATATATCAAAAAGTACACAAACCCACCTCCTCTAAGGCCAAAACTTATATCAAAAAGTACACAAACCCACCTCCTCCAAGACCAAAACTTATATCAAAAAGTACACAAACCCACCTCCTCCAAGACCAAAACTTATATCAAAAAGTACATAAACCCACCTCCTCCAAGACCAAAACTTATATCAAAAAGTACACAAACCCACCTCCTCCAAGGCCAAAACATATATCAAAAAGTACACAAACCCACCTCCTCCAAGGCCAAAACTTATATCAAAAAGTACACAAACCCACCTCCTCCAAGGCCAAAACTTATATCAAAAATTATACTTTCAACGATTCCTTTAAAATTCAATAACTTCGATTACTGTTTCAAAAAAAAAACGTATTTTATGTTCAATGTAATTTCTTTTGGCTGTTTCATTTTTAACGTTAGTACTCTTAAACTTTTTAACGCCATTTCTTTAGTTATTCGTTGTTTTTCAACATTATATATTTTTGTTATCATTTTCAGTACGTTTTCTTCTTATTGTTAATTTATCACTTTTATTGTCACTCATTTCAACATTATTTCTTTTTGTTATTCCTTTTCAGCAATTTCTTTCCAAGTCCTGTCCATTTTAGCGTCACTTTGTTTGATAATTTTTAAGATTATTCATGTATCAAAAGCTTCTTTTTATCTGTGTTATTACTTTGAGATATTTGACTGTTACTATACTTATAATGATAGATAAACAGAGACACTCGGCTACGTCGGTTCCTTGTAGTTTAGTTCAAAAAATTCAACTTAGTTACACGGGAATATAAAATGTATAATATACTCATACTGAACAAAAAGATATATTTCAATAAATTTTGAAACATATACCGGTAATTTGTGCAATAGTACATTCTAGCAACAAAACATAAGTCAGCTTAAAGTAAAAATAATCGGAATTATTGTGATAATATTATTCCTGTGTTCGTTAGTAACCTGTGCCCTATTTCAGTCGCAGGTACACACTATGATGTGCGTGTAGATTTCTGGTCAGTGTTTGAGCTCAATAAAGATGTTACAGCGTAGTTTATCTTTCATAGACCACCAATAGTTTATGGTGCTACTATAGCGTGCGGTCTACACAGATCACCGATTCACTAAAACATAATTTCTTGCTAAATAATTTATATCTATCCGCGTTTTTGTTCAACAAATAATAATAATTTAATAAGTTGCGTGTTCCAAAAAAGTACCTTAAATTTAGGTTATAATTGTGCTAGTTTTGATTGTAGGAATTTATTTCATTCTGATTATATTTGCCCCCAAAACGTTGTGTAATGGTATTTTGTACTTTATTAGTTTAAAAGCATTATTTATAATAAATGGTACCAATTGCGAAAAACAAAACGAATATTAAAACGGTGATGATGATCGTATCTGTGTAGACCACACGCTATAGTGTAAATATCTGTGTAGACCACACGCTGTAGTGTACATATCTTTGTAGACCGCACGCTATGGTGTAAAAATCTTTGTAAACCGTACGCTATAGTAGCACCCACTTAAGTTTGTTCAGACACTAAATGAGATACGATTACCTAAGTTATCTTATTTCACTATTCGTGGATAGTTTCTTTATGTGTTCTAATTATGAAAGATTAAGTTTTTAGTTCCAGTAAGTTAATGATACCGTCCTGCGTTTATTGCTATACTCATCCCTTGACATTTCACGAACACGTGATTTTTGTGTTTCACCTTTGTTTAAGCTTATATTTATATAAGTACAAAAACCGTGATAGTTCAACTAAATGTTTCCACAGTTACTTTATCATATACATGAATATTCATCAATAAAAGTCTTGTCTACACCATCGTGTCAATGAGTCTTTATTTTCACATATGCACATGCCAAATTTCACATAAGTCTCAGTATTTTAAAACCACATTTTTTTCCATAGTTCTTATTCATATAAATATCATATTTTACGCCTCTCTATGTTTTATTATCTTATGTTTTACAAAGGTTTTTCCATACATGTACATACCAAAATATGCGCTTCTTTAAATATGTCTGAACTAGTTTATAAAGTTTTACCTCTATGTAAACATCAAATTTAAGGATTTTCTATACATGTCCAAACCATGTTTTATGGAAGTCTTTTTTTTTTTATCTATTTCATATGTTACACTTGTACATAACTAATTTCTAGCTGCTAGATACATCCTTGAGTTAGGTTTTACAAAAGTTTCCTTTTGTTTTTTTTTCTGTATCTCATATAACTCCGACTTTCACACCTGGTTCTATATACCAAAATAAATTTTAACGAAAGCGTCTTTATACATAACGTGAACCAATGTTTAGCGTGCTGGACAGTAGATCTGCTTGTCCAACGCACACGTCCCGTTATAGTAAAAAAAAAAAAAAAAAAAAAAATGTTTTCTACACGTTGAGTGCAAATTAACGGTAATGTTTAAATCCCATTATTCGGTCAGTACAAGGGCAGCCCTAATATTGGCGGTGGGCGATGTAAACTAGCTGCTTTCTCTATAGTCTACTAGATCAAAAGTAAGGAAGACTATAGGAGATAATCTTTGTTAAGTACCTTACCTTTGTCCAAGTATCTGAAAACAAACGAAAACGTTACCCTTGTCTTCACGGTCAAGAATGGGTTATTAATTCCTGTCTTTACGTGATTAAGCCACATTTTACGAGAGCTCTTCCCACTTGTGCGTTACTGAAACCCATAACAAAACTCACACTAGTCTCAAAACGATCAATTCAAATCTTACGAATTATTTCTTTTTGTTTATCGTTCACTATATAGCAGTAACTATAGGATTAACCGTTTAGCTCAACTGGTTGGATATGCAAAAGATAACGTCCGAACCAGGGGGTATGCAAATTTCGAATTATCAGACATAAATCAACTCAAAGGTACGTATAAAGTTTTACATTTGTTCGTACTGCATCTATAACAGGTATTATTATACTTACCTGTACTGCATCCATAACAGGTATTATTATACTTACCTGTACTGCATCTATAACAGGTATTATTATACTTACCTGTACTGCATCCATAACAGGTATTATTATTATACTTACCTGTACTGCATCCATAACAGGTATTATTATACTTACCTGTACTGTATGATATATACAAATTTTACATCGAAGGTTATTACACGCATATTAAACATGTAGTTGGTACTTGATATATACCAAATTTGATAACCAAGATTTACGATCTTTTTCTATTTATGCAAAACTTTTAAGAACAGTTCATTCCAACTTTCACAACGATATTTACGTGCTTAACTTTTCTTTTCGACGATTCCCCCTTATATTTGTAAACCAACATTCACGCCTACATGTATATGATAAATTCAAGTTATCCCATTTCCTGTCACTGCTGTTCACATATAGCTACATGCTTAAATCAATTTTTTTCCGAGGTTCCTGTCTGGTCTTTCATGCGGGTGCTCGTTTAACATATTTCAGTATATAAATCTGTGTACATATTATTCTTTATTGTTTACATGTAAAAACACGTTTTTTATATACAGATATGTGCATTATGGCATATTTTGGTGTGTCAGTATATGTACAGCAATTGCTATAGAGTGTATAAATACGTGCACAAATATGTTTTTAAACATGGATAAGTGTGTGTGTATATGTATATATATATATATTGCGGGTTTTTTTAAACACAAAGTTACACAATGGGCTATCTGTGCTCTGGCCTCCGCGGGTATGGAAACCCTATTTTTAGTG